TAGGTCTGTATATATATGTGTGTGTGTGTGTGTGTGGGTGTGTGTAGGTCTGTGTATATGTGTGTGTATCTGTAGAACTGTGTATATGTGTGTGTGTGTGTGTGTGTATGTGTGTGTGTGCGCGCACGTGCATGTACGTGTGTATATCTGTGTAGGTCTGTGTATATGTGTGTGTGTGTGTGTGTGTGTGTGTGTGTAGGTCTGTGTATATGTGTGTGTGTGTGTGTGTGTGTGTGTGTGTGTGTGTAGGTCTGTGTATATGTGTGTGTGTATCTGTAGAACTGTGTATATGTGTGTGTGTGTGTGTGTAGGTCTGTGTGTCTGTGTGTGTCTGTATGAGTATATATCTGTCTCTCTGTGTGTAGGGTAGGGCAGAAGCCCAATTCATGTATCTTCCTCTTCAGGTTCCGCCTTATTCTTTGAAAGGGGGACACTCCCTGAACCTGGCACTCATCAGGAAGTCCCTGGGAACCCCTTGCCTCTGACCCCCGCTTGCAGATCAGCTCTGGCATTACAGGCGGCCCGGCAGACATTTTGCCCTCTGAGCCATCTCCCCAGCCCTGACTCTGATTCTTAATCAGCAGGGACCATCTCAGGAGCACTGGCTATCTACCAGCAGTTCCCCAGTGACAACGACATCATCAAAGTCGCTGAAGGGCTGATAGGGTAGCTCAGTGTGCAGTGCTAGCCTGGGACGCACTAGGTCCTGGGTTTGAACCCCAGCACTGTCCCAAACTACAACACAACAACACAACCCTACCATGTCAATCAAACAGGCCTGTGTTTACTCGACGCTGAACACCAGCCTGTCTGGCTGTAGGGAGCAGGGCTCTGTGGCGGTGATGACATCAGACCATGATGACAGGCCATTTTCATTCAATAGAAGATTTGGAAGACCTTGTAATTTCCACATGCTTTCAGGATCAGAGCAAATGCACACTGTCAGAGAGCAGAAGGACTCCGGGAAGAAGGCAGTGTTTTTCTTTCCAACGCTGGTACTGGGAAAAACGCATGCTTCAGCACACACCTCCACAGCAGCCAGCACTGAGTGGAAGGCCAAGCACCACAGCTTACGGGGATCAAAGCAAATTGCTGAAGGGGAGAAGGGGGATCTGAAAGGAAACTGCTAGGCAGTGACCGGAAACAGCAAACCTGGGGAAGGCAGGTGGGCTGCCAATCTTCCCTGCACCTTCTCTTTCTACACATACCATTTAGCCAAAGTCATGGGCAATCAGACCTCCTTGTGCTCCCCAGTCATCCCCTTACAGCCTCCTTGTGCTCACCTGTCATCCCCTTACAGCCTCCTGTGCTCACCCGTCATCCCCTTACAGCCTCCTGTGCTCCCTAGTCATCCCCTCACAGCCTCCTGTGCTCACCCGTCATCCCCTTACAGCCTCCTGTGCTCCCTAGTCATCCCCTTACAGCCTCCTGTGCTCCCCAGTCATCCCCTTACAGCCTCCTGTGCTCCCCAGTCATCCCCTTACAGCCTCCTGTGCTCACCATCATCCCCTGCACAGCCTCCTGTGCTCACCATCATCCCCTTACAGCCTCCTGTGCTCCCTAGTCATCCCCTTACAGCCTCCTGTGCTCACCATCATCCCCTGTGCAGCCTCCCTGTGCTCCCCATTCATCCCCTTACAGCCTTCTGTGCTCCCTAGTCATCCCCTTACAGCCTCCATGTGCTCACCAGTCATCCCCTGCACAGCCTCCCGTCCTCACCAGTCATCCCCTTACAGCCTCCCTCCTCACCCCGTCATCCCCTGCACAGCCTCCCTGCCCTTATCATCTTGGTAATTCCTATTCTTTCTGGTTTGATCTCATGCGGTTTTCTTCCTCTCAAGGCTTTGTTTTTCTTCTCCGATTGAAAACAGTGTCAATCCTATGCAACCTCGACTGAGATTTAGACACTGCTCTGATGTGACTACCTTCGGCCGGGACACCGTTCTTAACCATGTGTCCTCACAGGCACGGACAGTGCTCCATTCCATGTGGGTGCAGCTTTCCTTTTACAGTTACTGCTCTCAAGACCTTGCCTAACACATAACTCCTTGTGTGGTCTCACACTCACAAATGTCTAAGACAAGCTTCATATCTAAGAGGCATTTAAATATACTGAAAAACAGAATATATTAAATGCTTCAGAATCCCTTAGTTCCAGTGTATTAAGCCAAGTGACTCAGAGACTGTGGTGTGTGTGGATGTGTGTAATTTTTTCCTATGTTACATGAGAAAAAAATGTGTTCCTGTCACTAAACGTTCTACACACTACAGAAATGGTAGTGTTATTTTCCTGGGAGAAGTCCTAAAAAGGAGAAAAAGCATCTGCCCCCTGTATTTGTCACCTTGCCCTCTGTGTATGTCATGCTATGAGGTGAAATGCACAATGGGGGGAGAGATCTGGGTGAGGAGGCTCTTCCCTTTAACAGGAATGAGGAGGGAGAGCCAACGTGAGATCTCAGAGTTGAACAATACAGACAGACTGCAAGGTTGTGTTTGTGTAACTCCTGTTCCAGGCAGAGCAAGTCCCCGTCAGCTCTGACCCGTTAGCAAGGGCACATGGGTGGCAAGGTGGAATCCACACTGGCCTGGCTCTCTCAATCACTGACTCTGAGCTTTGGTGAGTGTTGGAGTGTCCTGAGACGGTACCTCTGCATGCACAGTGGGGATGGGAATGTTCCACAGAAGATGGCTGTGATGGATTGAACTGTGTCACCCTCGCCTAAAGATAAGCCGAGGGCTTGACTCCCTACCCCATACCTCAGAGCAGCCTTATTTGAAAACAGGGTTGCTGCTCAGGGAACCAGTTAGGAAGACTTTGCAGCTGAGAAGGGTGGGCCATTAACGCAATGTCCGGTGTCCCTGTAAGGAAAGGGGAAAGGCCTTGGAAGACACGTACAACAGGGATGCTATGTGAAGACCTGCATAGAAACTGAAATGAGGCAGCTGCAAGCCAAGGACTACCAAAGATTGCCAAGAACACCACAGACAGGAAGGAAGAGAGAAGGAAGCCAGCCCCCACTGTGAATCTGGCAGGGAACAGGCCCTAACTAGAGGCTGGCTTGATAAGGCTACAGAACCATGAAATGGTGAATTTCTGTTGTTTACAGCCACCTGGTATTGGTACTTTGTTACAGCAGCCCCAGAAAACTAGTATGGTTTGTTTATTGTGTGTGTGTGTGTGTGTGTTTGTGTGTGTGTGTGTGTGTGTGTGTGTGTGTGTGTGTGTGTGTGTGTGTGTGTGTGTATGTATTTTAACTGTAAAGGAAACACCCTTAGAATAGGTCACATTGACAAGAAAACACAGCAACTCTTATTATTTGGCTATTTTTGAACACGTGCCCCACAGTTCATGTGTTAGAAGCTTAGTTTTTGAATGGAATAATACTGGGATGTGGGAACCTCCCTGCCTCCCTGGTGATGAGGGCTGTGCCTTCGAGGATGGACAGATGTCACTGCAGTGTTGGCTTATCTCGAGTGGGCTTGAGTTTGGCCCTCTCTTGCTCCTTAGTCTTATGCTGTTGACCTTCTCCTTCTTCCGTGGCATAGCACAACACCAAGGCTCTCACCGGATGCCAGTGGCATGTGCCTGGACTTTGCAGCCTCCAGATCCACGAGCCAAATGAGTGTTTTCTTTATTGCCCAGTCTCGGATATCCTTTCACAGAGGTGGAAATGGTACCTAAACCATGGGAGCATATTTCTTTTCTTTGGACCTGACATTGCATCGCCACATTTACCTCCCATTACCTTCCACCCATTCACCCTGTCGGAGCACACTGGCTCCTGGCTACGCCTGCAGCATGCAAGCTACGTTCTTTTCCTCCTGACCTTGATATGGCTGCTTCCTCCGCCCGGAACATGCCCAGGGCAAACCCTGACTTCCAGACTTGCCTCAATGAGAACTTCTCACAATGAGACACTGCAGTTTGGATCAGCTCCCCAACACTCACTGCCCCTCATTCTCCTCCACTCTCCTCGTTCCCCACATCCTCACTAGATCCTAACATCCTGCACCACATGCCTTCTCGTATCATCTATGACGGCTCCCTCATTCTTGGACATTAGCTGTTTTCTTCACTGACATGAAGGAGCATCTAAACAGGGTCTAGTTCACAAGAGGTGCATAACAGAGGTGCATAACATTCATCATTCATTTTAGGGCAGTCATATCCACCTCATCATGATGGAGCTGCTCACAAGTGCTGCAAAAGTAATTAGAAACAATCAAAAACTCCCAATTCCCTCCATCTACCAAGCCCTCTCTCAAGGTAGAATAAACGCAATGGATGGTGATTTTTTATAGCTTCTTTTAAGTGACTCCTTCAGAGGACCTGTCACAGGAGGAGAAATGCCAAGACGTGGGTAACAACTCTTTGACAAAGCTCGACGTGTGGGCCAAGTGTCACCAGGTGTCTAAGTACACAACCCTTGCCATAAGTAATACGGATGGCTATTTCCTTTGACCTTTAACTCCCGTTATCTAAGGTCAAGAGAGTGGAAGGACACTACTCCTGGGAGGGAGGCAGGTGGAGAACGTCTCCCGGTCTCAGCACTCGGAAGATGAGTACTGAGTACTGAAACACAGTACTCCATGCTCTATGATGCCAAGTCACCATGGGATAAAAGGCTCTTCCCTACACCACAGAATGGTATAACAGAAAGAAAGTAATAAAAAAAATAATGACGACCTACTTGTATTTTATGCCCCCTCCTTTTCCTGTGTTTGTGTGTTTAATCAAACGTAGGAGTTCAGAGAACATAAGTGACCTTTTCAAGTTTACTCAGCGGCCAAGTAGGAGGGCAGGGAACCATACTAGGACCGGAAGATCACAGGGGACAGCGGTCTCCCAACTCCACATTTAGTGAACGCACCCTGACCATTTTGCAGCCCTGCTCACAGAAAAAAAAAAAAAAAAAAAAAAAAAAAAAGAAACATTCTCTGGTAGCTTCTCCACAAGCGACTTCCCAGCCAGTGCTCTAGGCAGGTGACTTACCGTTACGAAGGGCCACAAATCCTATTACTTCTGCTGGGTAAATCTCCACCAAACTCTCCTTCTTGTGAAAAAGCAGACCCACGCGTGGGGGTGTGTGCGTCAGGAACCGGGGTGCAACACCGAGACAGCCTGGAAATCACAGCTCTTGGGAACTGTTGAGACAAAAACAAAACACCAAACACATTTGATGTCTTTCATCCTCGCTCAGAAGCCCCTCAGCATGGTTCTCTTTTCTGCTTCTCAACCGAAATCAGTGAAAAAAGAAAAAACACGGTGGGCGCTGTTTGCTCTGCAAGCCTTTTAATTAGGTTTAAGTAATACTGCATTTCATTGCTTAGCCTGTATTTTATTGTAAGGCTTTACCATATTTACTAAAACTTCCTGCTTTTGAGGGGACCGAAAGGATCCCATCCATGAATACCGGCGTTTCTGTATTGCTATGCCCAGCATTTTCTCTTTTACTCTTCATGGGAGATCAGCTAACCCTGGAGGAGGCAGGGGGACACAGTCAGTGTAGCAGAGAGTGAAGGCGGAACTCACCAGGTTATCCTTTCCTCCAGAGGTAGGACGGACACCTTTTTGCTCAAATTCCAATCAGATTTAACTAGGTTAACATTTCCTGTGGGTAGGACATGCACAGTCCCTTCCGGCTCTGCCTGGATAAAAACCATGACACGAGATAGTGGATTTTAACTGGGAACTGAGAGGGACATGTCCAGGGGAAAAAAACCTCAGTTTTGACGGTGTCCTTTGTAAATCCAGTGAGATGGGACAGAGACAATAAGAAACCACTCCACATGGGTTGAAACAACTGTATAGAAGAGGCTCCTCAGCTCCTGGCTGTGAAGGACTCACACATCAGACTAACTTTCCACCGAACGCAACTAGACACTCAGGTAAAAATCATCTCAAAGTGTGTTTCAAGGCATGGGGAGAGCTGGGCATGGTGGTGCATGTCTGTAATCCCAGCATTCAAGTGTACACACACACACACACACACACACACACACACACACACACACACGCACACGCACACGCACACGCACACGCACATGCGTACGCACGCACGCACACACCAGCACCAGCAGCTGCTGTCACCATCAAGACACAAGAGGCTGACATACCGAAGACAGAGGAGTGAGACCAAAACAGATCAGTACCACCTTTCCTTTCAAGGTATCCTATGCACTTTTTAGACCTGCAGGGCAAGACTCCTGCCCCGCTCCCAAGAGAAAGACGGGTGAAGAAGATATCAGAGAGAGGGAAAAGCAAGACCTCCGCCCCGTGTTCTGCCTCTCTGCGCTGTGACTACACAAAGCAGCCAACAGCAGTGAGAAGCTGAACCGGAACTCTTGGTAGTTCCATGGTGCCGGGGGACCGACAGCTACGGTTTAGAGCCTGCCACTGAAGAAAGAGTGCTGGTATAAACAAACAAACAAATTAAGGCAAAGAATCTTGTGGCTCAACTGAAGACCTCAAAAGTATCCAGCTCCACCTTATGTCAGTGTGGCGCCCAGTATCTGTGACAGCAGGATTGTCAGAAGCAAAAGGAAAAGGCCTTGGGAGAAAACAAAACAAAAACCCCCACAGAAACAATCTACAGTCTCTAGGATGTTTTATGCATAAAGTGATGCATTCAGTCAATAACGATGAGGCGAGGGGTTGGAGAGATGGCTGCTCTTCCAGAGGACCTGGGTTCTAGTCCCAGCACCCACATGGAGGTTCACAGCTATCTACAACTTGGGTCTCAAGGGATCTGCTGCCCTCTTCTGGCGGTGGTGGGCACTTCATGCACATGGTGCACACACAGACTTACAGACAGGCAAACACTCATATTCACAAAATAAATAAGCAAGCTAACCATGGTGCGGCAACACCAGGACATGGAGTCATGAAAAAACAAAGAAACAAGCAAACAAACAAACAAAAAAAACAAAGCAACAAGACAAACTCTGGATGTTCCAGAGAGAGATGAAGATGTGATCTTTAAGAGGTTGTGATTAACATGGTCCAGTTTATAGAGAATGTAAAGGACTGTGACACATGCCACTTAGCAGCCTACAAAGCAAACTGAGCAAGGATAATGTAAGACGAATTGCTGAATTATTAATGAAAAAAAAAACAAAACAAAACCAGAGCCAGATATTGAGGTGAAAGCTGGAAGATCAGAGAAAATAGAACAAGCCACAGCCAACCTCACTTTACCAACTCCTCAGCCTCCAGAGCGAGACTTCCTGTTTACTCACCCTTATATTCCTTTCTGTGCCCTGCCATTTTACTTCCTTCCTAGTGCTGGGATTAAAGGCGTGTGTGCTTTCCAAATACTTGGTAGCAAAGGCATGAGATCTCAAGTGCTGGGATTAAAGGTGTGTGCCATCACATCTTGCTGTTTCCAGTGTGGCCTTGAACTCACAGAGATCCAGATGGATCTCTACCTCCCAGAGTGATAAGATTAAAGGTGTGTGCCACCACTGTCTGGCCTCTATGTCTAATTTAGTGGCTGGTCTGTGTTCTCTGATCCCCAGATAAGTTTTATTTGTTAAAGCACAAATAAAATATCACCACAGGATAAAGACAAAGGATGCAATTACACTAAACGTCAGTCATCTGCACAGTAACACTGTCCCTGAAGATTGTGACCACATACTCTTTCAGGTACAAGTCAAGCCCTTACAGAATAAAAACAACACAACCAGGACTCATAAATCAGGTCTAAAGAACTCTCAACCAATGGAAATGAATCACAGAGTACTTACTATGTGACTCTGGCTGGCCTGGAACTTACTATATGGAATCTTGGACTCATATGGCCTGAACTCAGATATCTGCCTGCCTCCATCTCCAGAGTCTGGAGTTAAAAAAGTGTGCCATCATACTTGGCTCATTTGGGTACATTTGGTACATTAATAATGGACCTAACTTTAGAACCATCAAGAAAACATAGGATAGTTCCATACTTCCAGAAAGTTCCTTCATGACTCTGTCGGTTAACTTGAAGCCCCCTTGGGAATACTATCATTCCCATGCCCACAGTTAGTTCTTCCTAACCTTCATACAGTGGACATGCAGTGTGTGTCTCTGTGTCTGGCCAAATGCACCCAGGACAGTGTCTCTGAAGTCACCTGCACTGCTAAGTGTATGAGCAGTTTGTTCTTTTTTATTGCTGAGAAATATACCATTGCATGAAAACACCACATTTGGAATACCTTCTCCTGTGGATGGACATTTGTTTCCATTTGGGGATATTTCCGACAAAGTCGTCCGTCCACTTCTCTACCGGCTTTCTGCAAACATGTATTTTGATTTCTCCTGGGGAAAATGCCTTACCCTAGGGGTGGAACCATCAGGTTACAGGTTGAGGGGTGCTTAACTCTATGAAACTGCCAGAGGTTTTGGCAATATGGTTGTCCCACTTTACATTCCCATCAATAATACATGACAGTTCCAGTTTACGAAGCCTCAGGAACACTTTGGTGATGCCAACTTCCGTTCTGAGGCGTCACCATGACACCTCTAACTGTGTCACCAAAGGACAAACAATTCAGTTTTTTAAATGGGCAGAGGAATTCAGCAGATAGCTCTATAAAGAAGATACACAAACCAGCATGCATGTGGATAACCCAGCACCATTAATTTGGGAACTGCAACCATACCATGATGAGATGCCACCTCACACCCATAAGGATGGCCACCCTGAAAAGCATAGAAAATCAGTGCTGCCAGAGGGGTGGAGACGTTAGATCTCGTGTGCAAGGCTTGTAGGACTGTAAAATGGTATGCTTGCTGTGGAAAATAGAATGGCAGTTTCTCAAGTCACTAAAAATAGAAATACCATGTGGTCCAGACATTACAATTTTGGAGATATATATATAAAAGAATTGGAATGAATTTCAAATTTAGTATTTCAAATTTCAACTATTAAATTATATACTTTTAGAGACAGGGTCTCATTTTGTAGTCTTGGACAACCTGGAACTCTATATGTAGACCAGGCTGGCTTTGAACTCAGAGATCCACTTACCTCTGCTTCCCAAGTGCTGGGATTCAAAGGTGCATACCTGACTGTAAACAAGTTTTTTAAAATAAATTATTACAAACAAACTTTAACATGTAGGCAAACTCACAGATGAGATTTGACTATACTACTAATGTATGTTTTAAAAGTTTTAAGTCTACATTTTTTTCTTAAATTTCTTGCCATCTAGACAAAATAGTACATATGAAATCTCAGATAAATTTCCTATCTAGTATCAAGATATTAGCTGGACAGAGCTGGTCCCATGGGTGCCCACTAACTGTCAAGGTGCCAGTTACGAATGACCTGTCCCCTGGTGGAAACTTCCTTCCGCAAGCCCATGTCTATTCATGCCCCTTCTTATACCCACAGGCGGAGCTTGGAAGAACGTTTAGAACAGTTTGTAATTCAAACATGGAAGCCAGGCATGGTGGTGCTTGGCTGGGCACAGTGGTGTTAGCACAGGCCTGTAATGCCAGCTTCAAAGGATGCTGCCTTAGGGTGATCCAGATGTCAGAAGGAACACAGAAATCCAGTTTCTCCACCCACAGCTGTCCCCAACAGAACATCTGGGAGAAGCCTATGTGGAAGATCTCCCGAGAGCCATGTGGATGGAGGCTTGGTTGGACTCCAGAGAAAGTTCAAGGCTACCTGGACATATCCTGTTCCAAAATTAATACTAATAAAAATAAAATTTCATGTATGTATAACACACACACACACACACACACACACACACACACACACACACACACACACAATATAGTTCAGTGGTAAGACACTTGCCTCGCATATAATGAGGTCCTGGGTTCAGTCCCTAGGACCAACAACCAAGCCTAACCAAACACCCCTACATCTAATGAAGAAAGTGGATGTGTATGAGCAAAGACAGAGACAATGCCATAAGGAAGTCCATGTCTTTGTACACTAACCAAATACTTGGTAAAATGAAACTAATAGATCTATCTGGGTAGGGTTTTTGTTTGTTTATTTGTTTTTTCCCAAATATGAGCACAAAGTCCATAAGAGAGAAACAACACATTAACTGACACTGTGGAGGCACAGGGCAAGCAACACAAGAGAGAAAATCTGAACCGAGAGCGTGGACGGCTGAAGGGGAACTCCCCGGAATATGGT